TGTGTATTTATCGATATTAAAAAACCATTTTTTATAATATATAAATATATATAAATATAATAGATCAGTTTTTATGTGTCTTTTGAGATTGTTTATAATTGAACATGGTGAAAAAAAAAAACTTTACAATGTTAATGTTTTGATAAAGATGGAAAATATTACTTACAATTCAAATGTAAGTTTATTAAACTATTTTTTATTTTATATATATATCTATAATTATTATAAAGGGGATTATTATAAAAGGGATATAAGAGATGTAACTGCTTTTTGGTCTCTATTTTTTAATGCATCATTATACCCCCAGATAAAGGGGATATAGGAGATGTAACCGCTTTTTAGTTTCTATTTTTTAATGGACTATTATACTCTCAAATATAAAAAAATCTTAAATTTTATTTAAATAATTATACACAATTTTTTAATATTTTATTAATGAATAACTATTAGAGGCTCTCTAGTTAAAAACATAATAGTAGTATATTTTGTAATATTAGTTAAAAAAAAATGTAAAGAATAAAAGTGAGTATTATGGTTGTTGATTATAATGGAAAATAGAGATTTGAAGTAATGTTAAGAGGGAGATGCATAGAAAGAAAGGAGCGGTGAATATGAAAGGTTTGGTGTGAACCATAGGAGGCTCCTAAATTAAGGGGCACACACATTCCAAACACAACAAAACTTCATTTTTATTTCTTTCCCACGTTGTTTCTTCGTCTTCTTCAACGTTTATTTTGTTTTCTTCCTCTTTATAAAAACAAGCCTCACCTTTCTCCTTCTTCTCCAACCCTTTTCTTCACAACATGAGGAAGAAGCTCGATACTCGTTTCCCTGCTGTAAGTTCTTATTTTTTCCCTTTCTTTTTCATTTCTGAGTTATTTATGTTTGGCCAAAAAAAAAATCAAATTTTGTTGTGTTTTCGATGTTTCTGGCTCACGTGGGAGAGATGGGTTTCTCTTGGCTTTGGAATTTTTGTTAGTTATGTTTTGACGTGCAAACGTGATTTGTATTAACACTTCGAGGCTTTGGGATTGTTGACTTTGTTAATGGATTGGTTGTTAAAGTTAATGTTTGTTTGAAGAACTATGCCCATAGAACGTTATTTTGGATGAGATAAGTTATTTATTTGAAAGAGAAAGAGGAACGGGGAGCCCATGTTGGATTTTGATGTAGTGCAACATTTTTAGGCAAAGAAAAAAAGGAACGCTGTGAAGTTGTGAATTGTGATTAGTGCACATTTGAAATCTTCTTGTTAGTATTATGACTGTGTTAACTTGGAGGTATAATTTCATTTTTGGTTTTATGTCTACTTAATTTGGTAATAGTTATGTCCTTGTTAAGCATTCACATGCTTTAATTCGGCTGGGGAACATCAATTACTGATTTTGGGATATAAAACATTATCTGTGTTTTGGTGTGAAGGGGGGATATATTCCCCTTCTAACCTTTTTTTTTTCTTTTCTAAATATCGTATTTTATATGTATTTTATTTTTTTTAAAATTCCCTGAATTTGGTCCCCCTCAAATGATGGTATTTTTTTAGGTATAGGTTTGTCACTACCTGTCCTGTAGCTATATTAGAAATGATACTTTAGGATAGATGTAACGCTAAGCAAATTCCTTTGTAAGCCACAGTGTGCAAAATTATTTCTAATTCTTGATGTTATTCTTTGACCTTCTGAGAAGGGATATTATTCCTTTGTTAAAACCACTGCTTTCAAGTATTTCCATACCTATAATTCTGGAGGATTGTTTATTCCATGCTACTCTCGCTGTACATATCACACATGCTCAAACAGAGTACAATATCATATTATTCATCACCAACAACAAAATTATTTTCCTTCTAGGTGGGGTGGAGTATATTGATCAAACAACGCCACAATGTCCTATTATAAATCATTTCCATAGATTAATCATATAAATGTATAGTTTTTTCTTTTTTGGTCTCTCTCTAACTATGGCACTGCTCTCTATATGTTGTACTTTCTTTATTCAGATTCTATAGCTTTTTTCCACACATACGTAAACCTTGTTCATGTGGGAAATATGCACAGGGGTCTTCTGTGGCCTTCCTTGTATTCTTACACTAGTCTTGACCCCATTGTACATATCTTTGATTGCTTGAATATAGGCAGGCAATATACCTTTATTATCTCATTCTTCATTCCTTGAAGTGGAATTTCCTTAATTGCACGATTTGCATCAAACAAAAAGCTTTTCTATCTTCCATGATTTAATTTTAGTCATTTTAGTAATGATTGTGTAATCTAATTGAATTGATTATTGACAGGCTAGGATTAAGAAAATCATGCAAGCTGATGAGGATGTAGGGAAGATTGCAATGGCTGTTCCTCTTCTAGTTTGTAAGTAGTTTTTCTTGCATATGATTCTTATTTTTTGTGCTTTTGGGAGTTTGTAATGAATTACCTCTGCTTTATGATGATTTGTGTATATGTATTGCAGCTAAAGCATTAGAGCTATTTCTGCAAGATTTGTGTGATCGAACATACGAGATAACTTTGAGGAGGGGCGCAAAAACTATGAATGCTTTTCATTTGTAAGTGAAATACCTTTTAATTTCTATTGGCTTGAATTTGTCTCTATGTCAAGGCTGTAGGTGGTTAGTTATGAGCCAGCAGTTTTTCTTTTTTTTTGAGGGGAAAGGGGTTGGTTTACCACTATGGTACTCATAAGTTGTAATAACATTAAATTCTGCAAAATTAGATTTCTCTATTCTGACTTCTATAGTATTTATCACATGCACAAACATGATTAGCATGTGAATGACATGTGCAGAAGAAAATGTTGGGATGGTCATGCTTTTGGAACATCTGCTGTTTGTTCTAGTGTTTACCTTCTCTTTCTGGTTTCTAAGAGGTAGAGTTACATGCATCCTTGCCTTTACAGAAAACAGTGCGTGCAGACTTTTAATGTCTTTGATTTTCTGAAAGATATTGTCAGCAAGGTTCCTGATTTAGGTGGTTCTGTTGCAACTGGTGATGACCATACTGTCACTAAGAGGAGGTCTGTGCTCTGGTTATTACTCTTTTTACTTGGAACAAATTTTCTGTATGCTGAGTTTTGTTTATTTTATATTAGGAAAGTTGCTGAAGATGATGATAATGATAGTGATGAGGAGTCCAAGAGAAATAAGAAGGTAATATATGATAATATATTGTTCGTATTTAATTACTTAATCAGGAGTTGCCTTAAATTTTCTTGTGTTATTAAAGCTATTGCTGTGTAATTATCTATTGTTTATGAGCACTACAAACCTTTTGCTTGTTACAAAAGAATTTAACTTCAGTCATATGGCAAGTTCACCTGTGGTCTGTGAATGCAAGTGCCTTTAATAGTCTGTAATGCTATCCCATATACAAAGAACCAAAACTAATATGGTTTTCTGAAACTTTTGGTGAAAATGTTTTGTAATTGAGCAAACTATAGAATCAGCACTAGCACCTAATGTGGAATTCTAGCTAATAGACGTGGCATTCTAAAGAGCCTTGATTTCTGTTTGGTGTGTTAAATATTTTCTAAATAATGAAATGTTTTTTCATGAGTTGCGCAGCCAGAGGCTGGCCATAGCAGTGGCAGAGGAAGGGGCAGGGGCAGAGGTAGGGGTCGTGGCCGTGGAGTTAGAACAGTAGATCAAGAGACGAGTCCACGTGCCAAGTCTGAAGATGATTCTAATGTATTGAAGCAAAATGAAAAGCACACTCAGAGCAATGAAAGCATGGAAAATGTGTCAGACCCTGAAGATGTTAAGCAGACTTCTCTAGATAGCAAACCGGCCAAAGTGTCCATTCGAAATTTTGACTTAAATATGAACCCGGATGAGAATACGGATTCATCAGCCTCACCAACACCTGTAGCAACTAGTTCATCTGCAAAATCAATGTCAGAAGAGAAGCATGATGAATACCCTGGATGGTCCTGGTCTGATATGGAAAAAATGTCCATTGATCCCACGCAACTAGCCAACATAAATAGAAGGATCGATGAAGACGAAGAAGATTATGATGAAGAAATGTAGATGAGCCTGTGTTGGCTTAATTACGACATCTCACTAGAAAGTTCGTATGGAGAATTAGTGTAGATTTTTTAGGAGCAGTAGGTGTTAGACAGATACTTAGTTGTTAGGAAGATTAGGAGGGAATAGTATCATTGAATACTCTCCTTACGACCTTTGTTTTAGGCTAAAAGTGGAGATATAGATTGTTCCATTTATAAATAGCCACCGTATTGTAATTTCAGAAATTTCAATCTTAGGTAGGTTTTGCTTATGGTAGGCACAACATTCAGGTTCTAGATGTGCTACGGCGCAAAATTTAACGAGGATGCTTCCCTTGTTCAACTATTTTCTTTATCATGCTTTTTGTTCATTCAATCACACTCGTGCAAAGTTTTAAATTTGTAGTTATCCAGAACTTTTTGCACCATCTTAGATGAGAAATGAAATGAAGAGGAACAAATAGGAAAGAAAAAGTGAAAAATACGTATTATTTGAATAAATAGAAATTAAAAAGAAAGAAATGTGATTTTTTTTAGATGAGAGAAAAATATAGTAGAAATGAGCGAATTATGAAATATTATGTTAAAAGCAACCGAACTCTTCCACTATTTTTAACGATGAAATTATCATTTATATTATAAAGAATTAAAAGAGCATTAACTATTTGTCCCCCACTTCAGTTCACATCTCTTGGAGTGAGAAATGGTATTGGTAAATTATAATTTGATTTCTCCTTTCACCTTGATGCTCCCACTTGGGTCAGGGTTACAAACTAGAGTTGCAAGACTCAATGAATCGACGCCCATGTCAGGGGCTTTTAAAGAACGATTTCTATGTGAATCTAGTCGACGTGGAACTTATTGCTTGCATGAGATGGAACATAAGAGTGTTCTGGTAATAGTTTGTTTGAATCTACTCCGGCAATTATTACTGAAGAGATTGTGTAATTGAAATTGGAATGTGGTGTGTTCCAACTTCCAATAGTTTACTTGATGTTCACAAGTAAATGATCTTATTCTTATGACCATGATAGAAGAAGTTAGTGAAAGCTGCCACCTAATAAGTCACAATGAGATAGAAGTACATTAATCTCAAATTCAAACACCAAGATTATTTCTCAAACATCCTTCTATGAATTAAGAGACAGAAAATGAGAAAGTCTTTAAGATTTACTAACCAATGCCAAAAGATAATATCTAGACCACAAGAAATCATCAAAAAGCCTAAATTGAAACAGAAGAAAGAGTAGTATTGGGAAGAACCCCATTGGAACCACAGCATATGCAACCCACTTGGATGTGTGAGCAAATATCAGAAAGGAGGCTGCAACAAAAGCTATAACCATAGCGGTAACGGAGATTAGAAGTAACATAACCCCGAGAAGCAAGCTAGGATGCAGTGATATGAAAAATTGGCTCTCTGCAAATCTTGATGAAGTGAAATTGGACAAGAATGAGAGTATAGACGCAGAAGAAGTGAATAATGCGACTGCATTTGTCAAGATGAAGACAATAAACCACACATTGGTCTTATCACCTGGAACAGTCAGAGCAGCAGCAAATGCTACTGTAGCAACAAGTGTTGCCACAAGCATGCTAGAGTTCGCTATTTCTTTGGCTGCTCCTTTTATTTCTTCAGATAACAACTTATGTTTATCATAAAATACATCATATGGTGTCTTGCCCTTCTTGTTTTTCATTCTCCTTAGTTCAAGAGGAACACTCTTCTCCACTTCCTATAAACATTCAAGAGGACATGTTAATTGTGATAGATAATAGATTAATGACTTGAACCATTAAAAAAGTATAGGTGAAGGATAAAAAATAATAGTTGAATAAGGATAAGCAAAATGAAACCTTGAACCATGCGAGCTCCCTTCGCATTTGAATGTTTGCTCTGAAATCTAAGGATGCTTCATTTTGGCGAGGATGTGCAGCTAAGTGTAGAATGTTGTTACCTGTATTGTCGGGTGCTTGCAGTATAAGTTTCACAGTTCCCATCTTAAGTATATAGGAAAAAATACTTCTTTGTCGACATAAAACAGCGAAGTGCAGTACGTTGCGTCCATCAATGTTTTTTATGGTGAGTAGTTCACGGTTCATGTAAAGAAGCCATTTCACAACCTCAACATTACCTGATTCTACTGCATCAAACAATACTATTGAAGGTCGAGTTATCAACTCCAAAATCTTCTTGTGTTTCAACTGTCTAACTTGATTCCATATCATTTCAAGCAATTGCATGCCCTTTCCTTTATTGTCATCCTCTTTCATGTCTAGTTACAAGCATAGATACTTGATTGGTCATAGAGAATACTCACAAATGTTTTTATGAGAATAAAATAGATATATTTATTATGAGAATGAGGTTACAACATTGATACGAAATATACTTGTAAAATTTTGCATTAATTTAATTCAGTTAGAAGATAAGTAAAATCTATTTAATGATCAAATTTGGACACCATTTTATCAATTTGACTTTGAATTCAATATATTAACTACTTATATTCATCTTTTTAGTTATAAACCTGTATTATATATATATATATATATATATATATATATATATATAAAATATGTCTCATAGATTTTTTTTTTTCTCCATAAATTAAAATTAATTTGTAGATGATAAAAATTATTTTTTACGATGTTAATATGATATAATTTCTATAATTAGTTTAATTGTATAAATTAATTTTAATTTATTTTTTATTTCTTATTTTATAAATATTTTCTTATTTTTTTATTTAAAGTCTAAATATAAGTTCCATAAAAAGAACTCAGGTCTGACATTTCTTTATTTAAATTGTGCATAAGCATCCATTGAGTTCATTGAAGGAATATGAAAATTATATGAGACGAAAAAATTAATCAACCATTACGATGGGGAATTAAAATAATTCTTGATTTAAATTTTGTTAGATAATTTTAATTCTTATCCATAATTAAATAGATGGAAAAATTAGTTGAATAATCAAAATTAAAAATTTAAGAGAGAGAGAGAGAAAGAAAAAAAATAAACGAAAATTACAGCTTTAAAGAACTAACACGTTAATTCTTCCGGAGGTTTTCGTGCTAGCATATGCAAAGCTGTTTGTTTCTCTTGATTCTCTTGATTCTCTTGATCATCTTTTGCAGCAGCCAAATCAGATGGATACGCTTTAAATAAAGTCATTGCAACATCTGTTATATGCACAAATTAAATTGTGATTCAAGTTTGGTAGATTATTGCATATATGTGCTAGAAAAAAGGTAAAACATCCATCCAGTATTTCCAAGCACACGGTAAGTTTATAAGTACAAGTCAAATAACATATTAATTAATAAGATTTCACAGCTCAAAAGTTAAGAATAATATTATAATTAATTTTATAGAAAATAATTTTATCATAACTTTTAATCATTGATTTCCTAATCAATTGTGAGTATATTTTATTGTCTAATTTCACTATAAAAAAAGGCAAATTCTAATTTAATAATCCAAAGGCAGCTTCTACTTGATTCTAATTCTAAATTACTTTTGGCAAATGATAGAATAACATGAAACTTATATCTTGATCTCATCATAGTTTCTATAGAAAAATAATTAATTTACACGGAACTTGAATCAAGCAATAGTTACCTTGGTCTCTTTTCATTAAGCTATATTAATTATCCATTAACCGTAAAAAATATTAATTATCTATAAATTATACGATGAGTAAAACTAGCCTACATATAATTGCTAAATATAAACTTAGTTACTTATATCATTCCCATTGCTTAAAGAAACCTAATTAATTTTACATATGAAAACAATGAGATATGTAGTGCAAACACTGTGTGTTTTAATGCTTTATTATATGTTTATATGATTAATGTTGTGTGTGCTTTAATGCTTTATTATATGTTTATTATATGATTAATGTTGTATATGATATGTTGATGTTTTAGAATTTTAAGTGTCAAAAAATTATTAAGAATTAAGTTGTTTTGAGTTGTTTAAATCAAGATCAAAGTTAACCATATATCAAAAAAGATATAAGGCTCGTAGAGGACTTAAACTTCATAAATTCATTTATTTAAATTTTAGAGAGATAAGTCGGAAAGACAAAGAAAAATATTTCTTCTTTTGACTTCACCTAGAGCTCTTAGATCCTTCCTTGAAGTAGGGATCGAGTAGTTGAGTTGGAAATTCAAGCTTAGGAATTGTGATTCTTGGTGAGAATTTGTTGTATGAGAGATTTTGGGATCTTTTCCATCTTCCTTTCTTCTCTTTGCTTTATGAATCAATTAAAATAAGGGAAATTTATTGTTTAAATCTTTAAGATGCTTTTAAGTTGTGATTGGAGTTGTTTAGCCCATTGGTGGTTCAATTGTTATAGATTGAAGTTGTGTTTAAGTTAAAAAGTTAGGGTTTTTCAAGTGTAAGGAGACTTGTGACACAAGAAAGTTGACATTGATGAGTTTGATTGTTGCATGTGAAAATTGATGATGAATTCATGATATATATGTTATTTAGTTGTATCTTGAAGATTTGCATGTGGAAGATCTAAGTTATGGCGAGTGGATTTGATGAAAGAAGGTGAATCTCCATGAAGGGAGTTCATGTTTTCACCCAATAATTAAGAATGAATGCTCACTCTATGTTCATCCAGGGTTGGGGATCCTTTGCCCAAAATTATGTTCTCACTCAACGACGTGATTGACGCTTAGTGAGAAAGTGACTCTGTGGTAGTCTCTGTTAGAGCTCGCTCGACGAGGTATAACATGCCTAATGAAAGGACCCACAATGGGTTTTGGTCACTAAGCGAGTTATGATCACCAAGCGAGAAGGACCCACAAATAGATCTATTCACTCAACAAACTCTTGACATTCCAACAATGAGTTTTTTTCCTTTACAATGAACCCTTTTCCTTAATTGAACAAGAGTAGCGTTGCCCAATGAAGAGCTCAGAGAGCTTAGCTAGCCTAGCAAGAACTCTATTTTTGAGGAAACTTATATTTTTGGTATCTTTTATACATATCTTGTTATAATTTGAGGATGATTGAACCTAGTTCATAATAAGTTGACATATGATGATATATGGTGATGCACACACACACACACACACGCACGCACGCACGCACGCACGCACGCACGCACGCAGACACACACACACACACAGACACACACACACACACACACACACACACACACACACACACACACACACACACACACACACACA